CTGAATCCTAGGCTTTATGCTAAAATTCTGTGAAAGGAACTGAAGTTTGTGGCTGCAGCAGTCAACAAAAGTGAAAAATTGTAGCCGTAATAACCATGAATTGTAAATTTACATAAGACGTCACTGCTGATGAATTCATCTTTCATGTGAAAAGTGAAAATGCTTTCTTTTCTCCTCAGTCCATCTGCAGTCTGTCTGTATTCTCCGCTCAGTCTAGAGTTTCTTCAAGACTGAGGTGACTGAGCTGAGAAAGCGAGTCATTTCCCCTCCCACCCTCGTCTTGCTTTCCTAGCAGCGACCTGCTAGGAATCTCGTCAACTTTCACGTCTGCGTTGAACAAATCTGAAAGTACGTCGTCTCAGGAACAAACCCCACCACCTCCCCCCCCCCTCTCTTTCTCTCTTTTTTTTAATTTAATTAAAAACCTGCATCTTAATTCTGGAAATTTTGACTGTAGTCAACCACATCACAACTTCCTCTGCGCGCCACAGCAGCTGCTGCTGACGTAGGCTTGTTTTCTGTGCTGCGTTTGGCCTGCAGGGCTCTGAATGCATTTTTTCTCCTACATGTCTGTCTGTTGCATGGCAGGCTGGTCCAGGTGAGTGGTTCCAGTGGTTCTGTCATGTGACCCACAGCTGACCTTCATCTCCCTGAGTCACTGTGAAGCTGTTGGGAGTTGGAGACGGTCCAGAATGCTTCAGCAACTCGGAGTGTCTGGAGCTTTAATGTCTGATGTAAACCATGAAGCAAATGCTCCTTTCTGTGTTTTATGTGTGAATAAAACACATGAATGTCATTCTATTTTTATTTAAGAAAAAACAGCTGCTTTTCTAAACTTACAAAACAAAACAAAACAAAGCATGATGGGCCATCTCCCACACAGCCATTTGTCTCACATTAATAAAGTTGTGTCTCCTGGCAGAGTTCACCCAGTTACTGTGATTTGTTTTAGGAGTTCTTACATTTTGCATCCATATTACATTTTAAATTTGTTGAGTAAAATAATAGAAAAAATAAATCTAAATGCAGTTATGATCAGAATTAATTAGTTCTCCTTTTGAAGTAATTAATAACTCTTCATATTTCCATTGAAATGACTGTAATAAAAACTGTTTATACTCGTATTGCTTCCAACAGAACAAAGACAAAATGTCCACAAAGTTTAATTAGTAGAATTTATTGATGTGCTGAATTGTAACAAGAAAACTGAACTTAATAAGCAGAAGTCTTGCATGGCTAATTGTTTAGTTTATGTATATAAAATAATGCAAAACTAGATAAAATATAATTGAATTCAGTTTGTGGTTGATCCATATTTGTGTGTTTTCACAGTGTAGATGTCGGAAAATCAACTATAAAGTCGAACTTTAGCATCCTGTTCTTGGTTTTATGAATTACTGAAGTCATTTGTTGCGTCATCAGAAAACACTGCCTGAAGAATGACTAAAATAATTTATTAATTAATATTGCATTCATCCAAAAGAGTGAATGTGAGCATCTGACCCACACTGTACTGATTCCCTGTAAAGTCAGATCTGAACTCAGTCTGAATCGGTTCTGTTGGCATGGATACAGAACTGATTCAGGTTATCATTTTTCTTTCTTTTTTAAGGGGCAGTATTATGTAAAATGCAGAATATCTTTTTTTGAGATTTACTTTGTTATTCCCTCATCAAAATCATACCTGGAGTGTTGCTTTCTTTCATACACATTTGAAATCCTTTAATCTCCATGGCAACCATTCAGCTGTGCAAAACACCTGGATGAACCTAGCTCCACCTTTGAGGATGAAGCACCTTCCCCACTCAGCTCCTTCAGACTAGCCAGCAGCAATTAGCAAACACCTGGTGGAACTGCTGAGCTCATTATAGGAGCTTCTTCTCACTGCTGGTAAAAACATTTTAAATGGTTAATAGAGGAGCCATGTTGTGATGACTTCCTGAAGGCGGAGTTTCAGAAAGAGCAGGAGTTTTTTAAAGAGACAGAGGCCCAATTTCCATTAAAAAGTACATTTTCTTTTAAGCCATATTTGATGTATATAGCATTTTTAGAACAACTAAAATGAACAGTTACTTAATTGTGCTATAAAATAGCACTGTAAAATAAATAATACTGTCCCTTTAAGTGTTTCATCCATCAAGTTGTTGAAGGTCACCATGTCTCAGTATTTCTGCTTCTATGTGTATGTTGATCCAGTCCTTGACGTCTCTAAACCCATTAACGTTTGTCTGTTGATCTTCTACCAGATTTGCTGCTTGAAAGGACAGAAGGGCTTGGTCAGCCAGCCCACCTTTGATGGCATCCACATCGTCAATCACTACATAGGGGTCGGCGAGTCCTACCAGTCCTCCGACGACGATGGTGCCAAGGACCCCGACCTGCAGAGCCTCCAGCCGAGGAGCGGCGGGCGCATCAGGCTGCGGGCCAAGCTGGAGGACACAGACAGTGACGAGGAGGACGGCGACGCCCTGCGGCTCTCCGTGCCTCAGAGCAAATCCACCACAGTGTGAGCGCAGGGCCTGGATCCAGAGTTCTGAATTTCAAAAAGCAAATCCGTCATTTCATATCTTATGAATCATGCCACTGTTTTTTGTTTTTTTTTGTTTTGTTTTTTTGTTCCTGGGCACCACTTACAAAGCCGGGGTCAATCTGAACCTCAGCAGAGATTCAAACAGAATCAAACTCTACAAGGTGGAGGGTAGGGGGGGCTGAGGGCCGGGGACCAGGGGCTGCCCTCCTGTACGTACAACACACAGGCAGACTGTGCAATAGAACATTTATCCCAAACTCCACACTTCATCCAGCATGCTTTTATATTTTTAAAGGATTTTATAAACGACTTACTTTAAAGTTTATTTCCATCACGCAGGGGCAGAACTACTTGTGTGTGTGTGTGTGTGTGTGTGTGTGTGTGCGCGTGTGTGTGTGTATAGCTTGGATGGTGTTGGTCAGAGCCTGGTATCAAAGCTGCTTCTATCAGCCAGCACTGACCCAATCAAGGGTCAGTGCTGGCTGCACCAGGTCCTCAGCAAACCAAATGTACATATGTAAATGTTTTTGGATTTTTTTTCCTTATTCATTTTGAACTTGAAAACCATGTTTAATATTGCATATCTGATGTTTAGATATGTTGTATGAATAATAAAGAAGGGACTAAATATATATATATATATATATATATATATATATATATATATATATATATATATATATATAGTATGTATATGATTTGAGGAAAAGGAAGATGGATTCTTGTCAGAGGGTGATTCAGTCATCACGCATCGTTACGTTCTGAGAAGGGAGCCGGGTCAGAGTATTCCTCCTGACAGCATGGCTGACTGCACCAGGCGCATCTGCGTTTGAGTCAAATCTGGCATGTGGTGATGTAACACGTTTGCACAGAAACGGGGGAGACGAAGTGAGACCTGCAGACCGGAGGCTTTGGGCTGCCAGGCCCGCCCAAAGTCAGCAGCTGGATTTGGGAACCAGACACGAACTTCAGCCTTCACATCCAGGAGGCCGATCGGATCCCAACATTAGGTCTGCTTCACCAGAATCTCCCGTTGATTGGTTGATTTTTACCGGGAGAGGAACACATCGTGGCACTTTGCAGTGTAAGAACACATGGCAACACTATGAAGCACTCTGAGATTGTTGTACTGGTGAGAGAAAGGAATGATTTCATAATAAAAATTTCATAAACTGCTCTCGTGTGTGTTTTAATGGTTGCAGTAGATTTTTTAGTAGATTTTTTTTTACTTAAATCTTCAGCTGACTGATCACACATTCATTTTTTTTCTCTCTGAAACTCAAAGCGTCTTTTCCTCTCAAGATTCTCGCTAAGATTCTCCGCTTTCAGGAAGTGATTTGTCGCGGTTTCCAAAAGCCGAGCCTCGGCTTCTCGTTTTTTCATGCACAAAACCACATTTTAAGAGCAGCTCTCTCCTCAGGCACCGAGACATAACCCAGGTCTGTATGTTTATTAATGTCGTTTTTCTAAATCCTTTTTGATGATTCATTTTCCTTGGAGGGTGGATCGTTTGATCATTTCAAAATATGAAGAGAAACGTGAGGTTGAATCGTGTTCATGCAGCGGCGGAGGCTTTGAGCGCTATTCCAATTTATGACATGTTCAATTTTGCATAAATTCACGTTTTAATTAAGATCTGAAAAATGAAAGAGAAATCTGTCTCCTGAATGCGTTTTTTTTTTCTTTTCTTGCGGTTGATTCTTGTCTTGACGTTTACTAAAACGCATTAAAATCGCAGACTGTGCAGTGTGGGAGGGAATGAATCATTTGGTGATTTTTCACATTTAAGGGGCTTGAAATTTAAGAATGATGAAAATATTTGAAACTGGACATAAATCACAACGGACATAATTGTTTAGCAGGGGAGGCAAATTCTTCTGGAAATTCGCGCTACTTAGAATAATTGTCGTATGCATACCAGCGTGTTTATGTGGATTTTATTGCATTAGATTTGTTTTGGTTTTGGAGGCAGGGGAGACCCTCCATCCCGTTAGACGGTCACGTGATGAAAGTAAATCGAGCAAGAACAAGTTTTAGCAAAAACCCCAGGACTGAAAGAGGAAATAACGTTGGGGAGATTCATATGGGCAAATATGGCCCCGACTCGGGGCGTTATTCCATCAGAGGGTGGCACAAGCGTCAGAAAAAAACATTTTGCTCCAGCATTGTTTCCTTCCAGAAGTACGAACTGTAAAAAAATAAATAAATTAATTAATTAAATAAAAAAAAAACTATAGGCTGAAGTTACCACCGGGTTTAGAATAGAGCAGTAATGACCTTTGTGTCTCAGAGGAGAAATTCAGGTGCAACAGCAGCATCAGATAAATAGGTTCACATAAAAACGTTCCAAAAGAGTTAAAAAAAACAACAAAACGCATATATAAAAGCAAAGGTAACAATAAGAGTAATAAAATAAGTTATATTTTATTAGAGCTTTATAACTGAAAAATTCTGAAAATTCTGTTCAAGTATTAGAAATAGAAACATCATGATCCAAAGGTTGTGAGTAGGATGACTTTTTTCAAATGTCCATAATGTGCAACTGTATGGAACATTAAAAAAATCAACTTATTTAACAATACCAATGGAGAAAAACAGATGTGCAATAACAGCAGACATGTTTTCTAAAAAATCAGTGAAAATAGATTAAACAGAATTGTATTGTTTCACAATTTCACTTGACATGTTTAAAATATGAAGTGGTTATGCTGACATAGAGTCTCTGAAAATTATTAATAAAATATCGTATTTGTGAAAACGCATAAAAAATCATGTAGTTTTTCAGTTTGTTTTGGATGGGATGGAAACGCAGCACAGGCTGTTCAAAACTCTGCGCTTCTTTATTCTGTTTGTGCGGAAAACGATGATGATCGGGCGCAGAACGGAGCGCCATCTACCCAAGAAGCGGCGCAGACCTTGATAATCTGTTTAGAAATGTTTGATTTGGTGTTCCATGCAGAGATGATTAGCTGTCCTGTCTCTATTTTGGCACCTTCACTTGCACAAGTTTGTGCTTTCCTCCTATCGGCCCCTGCCAGCGGGGCCCTGCAGCGGCAGCTGCTCTAATCGGCGCGGTTTGATTTCCTGTCCTTCGTTTTGTTGATAAGTCGATCACCGCAAACGAAATCAGATTGACGGGATGCAAGAGAGAAATCCTGTTTTCTTTCTCTCTTTCTTTATATTGTTATTTTTAATTTTTTTTTTTTTTAATTTTCTTATTTACTGTGATTTAATCCGTGTGATCCGCCTTAAAGCAGAACGTTTCTTCTTCACCATCACCTCCAGCAGCCCCGGGCCTGGCAGTCTGGCTCACCCCTGATTTGCTAATCTGTGCGTCATGATCTGTGTCCGGCGCAAACACCCGCTGTGCAACATGAAACTGCGTCATAAAACAGACAGCTGATCAGCAGAGCGACACTATGGCGCTCTTCACACTCCGATAAACTCCGACAAATCGTATAGCACACTGTGTAATTTACATGAGTTATCATGGAGGGAAAATTAGATTTCTTTTCCCCCCACCTCTTTATGTTCTAATTGAAGCTCTGCACCGCAGGGTGCGCCTCCACGTTTCCTCTGGCCCCTGCCTCCACCTCTCTCCTGCTTCTCTGATTGAGTAAGTGAGAGGCTGATGAAGAGCGTCATCGCTCCTCCGGCTCTGATGGACTGATCCATGAGGACTCGGCGGCGACTCGGATGAACCTGAAAAAAAAAAAAAAAAAAAAAAAAAAAACAAGTTCTAACTTTTAAATCTAGTCATCGTCATCTTCTGCTCATTCGGGACTGTTTACCGTCACGAATGCGGGACAGAGGTGAAACTCTCAGTAAAAACCCTGAGGTGAGTGGAAAAAGGAGCGAAGAGACGTGGCAAGAGCGCGGGGCCCCAGCTGCGGCCCTCTGCTGTCTACCTGCCGCCGCTCAGCGGTCAGCCTCGGTGACACCTGGCGGACGGGACTGACGCCTGCGCGCATGCTCCGTTGTCATGTGGAAATCTCTTAAAACGCTCGGGATGTCAGTGGCTCAGATCAAATCTGTAAACAGGACGCCAGCCGCCGGGTCTCCTCCTTCTGCTCAGCAGCTGGTTCCTCGTCATTAACCATCGCTCTCTCTTCTACCTCCCCATCAGCCCCTGCACACACACACACACACACACACACACACCGCACAACACACATACACTAAAGATGCCCCGCTCCTTCCTGGTGAAGAGTAAGAAGGCGCACAGCTACCACCAACCGCGAACTTTGGAGGATGATTACAGCAGGCTGGACACGATACTGGCGCACATCTGTTCAGGTAAGATTTGAATGAAAACTACAGATTATTGGATCAAAATGTAGGCTACAGTCAAATTGGACTGTTTGCTTTAAAATCAGGTTCTGCGTAAAGGATTGTGTGGATATTACCAGGGATTTGGTTCATTATAAATATAAATGTCCCTTTAATTGGATTTGAGTTGTTTCATAAACGGCTTTGACATTCTGAATAAAAAAAAATAAAACATTCAGAAAATATTTTTTAAAATGTAAGAAAAACATGATTTAATCGATTTTAGTGAATGTTATTGAAAGAAGAAAGTGTTTCATTGATAAACTAATTCTTGTTAAAAGTGCTGTTGAACCCTCCTGGTTATAAAGGATATTTTTCCAGATTGTAATCTGAAGCTTCAGCTTTAAGCTAAAAATGATCTTCACTGGGTAAAAGCTTCGCTTCGCCACCCGCCTCAGATACCGATAAGCTCCCGGAGGAGGACGCCGACCTTTCGGCGGACAGCTACGGCTTCTCTCCGGCCTCCCACCCGGGCGAAGCTGCGGACTTCTCCCCCAGGTCTCCGCTGAGCTGCGCCGACAGTTTGTGCGCTCGCTCCGCAGACTATGAGGACTTCTGGCGGCCTCCATCCCCATCCATGTCGCCTGGTACAGACACAACCCCAACACACAACACACACACACACACACACACACACACACACACACACACACACACACACACACACACACACGTTTATATTGCTACCCATATTAAAACTTTGTATTGAGTTGCATTCATTTTTGTGGCTAACATGTTCCTGTAATCTTAACCAGTCTGTCTCTAACCAAAACATTATTCATGCCTTAACCCAACCCTAAAACAAGGGGGTCTACCACATTTCTTTGGGCCCCATAAGGCCCGTCAGTGTTCAGAAGGTTCCTTAATCTCCCTGATCCTAAAATCTTGACAAGTACACACATACATTTAGCTCATTATTGTTCCAAAAGAAAACAAGTGAAAGGATTCTGCGGACACTTAAAACACACCGTAAGATCGAACACGTCTGCTGTCAACGGCGAAACTTAAAAAAAGTATTCATTTTATTTTTCATGTCAAAAATCACCATATGATGTTTTTTATCCGATAAAACATCGTGTGTAGGCTTATCGACGTTAACGCATAATAATAAGTTTTACTGATTGACTATAAAGCATAAAGTTCATGTCCAGAGGGGTTCTATCAGTGTAGCCCTCTGAGGCCCTACTGGGCTCCCGTACAGTTACCCCACTGGTTTCAGTAAAACTTCCTCTGTCATCCTCCAGTTGACTCCGAAAAATCGCTTTCTCCCCTGGTGGGTGAAACCCAGTCCTTCACCGTCCCTTTCCGGCCGTACGCCTGGAGCAGCTACCCGGGGCCGGGGCCGGAGCTGGAGGTGCAGCGGCCCGTGGCGCAGCGGAGCCTCCATCCCGGCCTGGAGGTGGACACCAGCCCGGCGGTGATGGCGCTCTACGCGGACCGGAGCTGCCACCCGGCCGTGTTTGCAGAGCGGGCCCTGGCGGAGGAGCCTTACGGAGACTACCGGAGGCACGCTGCCGCGCTGCTGTTCCCTGAAGCGGGCCTGCACGGGAAGGCGGCCGACGGGAAGGCCCGGCCCGATCTGCTCTGCTCCAGCCTCATTCTGAACGGGGCATACAAGTGTGTCAAGTGCGGGAAGGTGAGGCTCGTGTTAAAGAGTAAATCATGATCGTCTCTTTTGCTGCCTTCTTCATCTTCATCTTTGTTGATCAGGTGTTCTCCACCCCACACGGTCTGGAGGTCCACGTCCGCAGATCGCATAGCGGCACGAGGCCTTTTGCGTGCGACATTTGCGGCAAAACGTTCGGCCACGCCGTGAGCCTGGAGCAGCACAAAGCCGTGCACTCTCAGGTAAAACCCGGGTGAAACCACATCCTGCAGCGTCTTCTCTTCTTCAGTCAGGGTGGATGCACGCACTGAAGGAAAAAAAAACAAAACAAATCAATCTCTTTGTTTTTCTTGCGCACCTTTCAGGAGAGAAGCTTCGACTGCAAAATTTGCGGCAAAAGCTTTAAGCGCTCCTCCACGCTATCCACGCATCTGCTCATCCACTCGGACACGCGGCCCTATCCGTGTCAGTACTGCGGGAAGAGGTTCCACCAGAAGTCCGACATGAAGAAACACACATTCATCCACACAGGTGAGTTTCACCAAAGTACGTCCAAACGCCCGGTTAGCGCCAATAGACTGTCCAACCCGCTGAGGTCGGTCAGTAGGAGGTTTAATTATTCCAGTTTATTTATTTACTTACTTATTTTTTTCCTCGCAACTTGTAATTTGTTAAAACTATTGCTTACATATTTAAATTTTGTTCCGCAATCCCGACACAGTCGGAGCCTCCCAGCATTCCAACCCCTGGCAAAAATACGAAATAATTAAATTCACAGACGCACCTACCCGGCTTGATTTTAAATAAATAAATAAATAAATAAATAAACAGATTTTGCCTCTCTCTCCCGCCAGGCGAGAAGCCGCACAAGTGCCAGGTTTGCGGGAAAGCGTTCAGCCAGAGCTCCAACCTGATCACGCACAGCAGGAAACACACCGGATACAAACCGTTTGGCTGCGACCTGTGCGGGAAAGGCTTCCAGAGGAAGGTGGACCTGAGGAGGCACAAAGAGACGCAGCACGGACTGAAGTGAGACAGAAGACGGAGCCGCGGTTCGGCCTTCACTCCGAAGGGAAGGAGACGGAGCTGGAGCCACCGGAGGAGGAAAACAACTATTTTTTCCCCTCCCTTTTCTCAAGACACACTTTCTTCCAATTTTAATGAACTGAAAATTCAAGATAATTTGAATCCCATCGACTGTTTTTTGTATTTTATTTTTCTTATTATAATTTGTATTATTTATAGGTGCGGAGAAAAAACATGAGCAACACTAATGACAGCATCCTTCTTTTTAAATACACCGCCCCAGCCCCCCTCATCTCCTCACCTTTAATTTCTTTTTTAAAGCCAGAGATAAGCTGTGAGCTGTGGAGGAAAAGTGATAGAGAAAAATGGCAGATGTGTTCAGATAAAGCATGATTTAAATAACTCTGTTAAACGGACAATAAACGCACCTGATAAAAATCTGCTTTCTGCAAAGACTGGACGTGTTGTTTTCATCTGGCAGAGATGATGGCAAAACACTCTCTCTCTCTCTCTCTTTCTCTCTCTCTCTCTGCCAACTGCAGGGATCTGCTCTATTGTTCTGTCAGAATAAATGCTGATTTTATTGTTAAAATAAACATAAATGAAATTCTATTTGAGGATTATTATCGCTATAAATTAAATTGACAAGGCATAAATCATGTACGAAATAAATAATCCAATCAATCTGATCACATGTCCTGTCTGCTTCAGTCACATGTTACTGGACTTCTGTTAACTGAATCAATCAGTTTATTTGTGCAGCACATTTACAGCAGTACATCATCAAAACAAATCCTCATAAACACATTTTGTTAAAATGATCATTACACATGACATATTGTTGGTCAATGTTCCATTTATTATTGGTCAAATCAGCTCTAACCAGCAGGGGTTTTTAGTTTTGATTTGAAGGATCTCAGTGTTTCAGCTGTTCTGCAGTTTTCTGGAAGTTTGTTCCAGATTTGTGGAGCTTAGAAGCTGAATGCTGCTTCTCCATGATTGGTTCTGGGGATGCAGAGCAGAACCAGAACCAGAAGATCTGAGAGGTCTGGAAGGTTGATACAACACCAGCAGATATTTAAAGGTCCAGATTTATTATGACCATAAATTACTGAAGTCCAGCTGAAAAGCAGAAGTGCGATCTGATGAGCCGTGTGATGAAAGCGTCTCAGTGCTGTGATTGGGGTTGAAGCCCAGAGGCTCCTGTTTGTTTTGACCACTGCAGCCTTGTGTTTGCACCTTCAACAGCCTGAGCAGATCTGACCGTTAACCAAATACCTCTTACCCTCACAGCTGGGTTTTTTTCTTTCTTTCTTTCTGGGGGTGGGGAGGCTTGGCGGCAGTGGGATTGTTTCCACAAAGCACACGCCAGATTTAATCTGGCACAATTGAAAGATTAGACAGCAAAACAAACAGAACGATTGCCATGATGTGTCTGTTGGAGCTAAAACACTTAGTACGAAGTAGTAACATCCTGCATGGCTGACTGACACCGATCGGCAGTGCTAATCTGAAGCTTTGATGGTAAACCTGAACCATTCTGGTGTATTTGGGATCGTCATTCTGTGAGGAAACTGTCAAAGTTTCAACAGTCTGATCAGAACGGTCACCCTAAGGTCAAAGGGAAAGGAGCAACCCAAGAAGCAAGAAAAAAACCAACTGACCTGATCGTTGACTGGAAGATGCTGGAACGCAGTAAAGTGAGTTTTTACATCACCAAACAGAAACACAGGCAGGTGGGGTGAACTTTTGGGTAAAAGTTTTATAGTCAGATGACACAAAATGGAACTGTTTGACCTCAACGACAAGAAGAACATCTAGAGGAGTCAAGCTGAGACGTTTACCCCTACATTCTTCCAACTGTTAAGCATGGTGGTGGCTGTATCATGGTGAGGGACTCCTTTGAATCAGTGTTTCCATGCAAAAAGTTGATGAAATAATGAAGACTATGCCCAAATTCTTCGACTTGACCTGAAAATGCTGACTAGACATCTGAAACTTTGACACAAACAAACAAACACTCCTTAAATGTGGATGAAGTGGGGCAGCGTAAAGCTTCCAGAACGGCCACAAAATCAGCTTTAAAAATCAGCTTTCAGACAGAAAGAGTGGTAAAAAATTATGTCAGCATTATTTATGTCAGCATGTAAGCAGGATTTTGAGCCTGTTAGGTTGAGAGAAAATCAGCGACAAACTCAAATTTTTGCTTCCAGGTCTCGTATTTAGACATGAGTCGTTTTTCCACCCGGGAAACTGAAATAATCTAATGCATGGTGAGTTAGTCGTTTGTTATTAATCTAACATTCATACTGGTGGACAAACACCTCGGACTGTATGAAGCAGAGAGAAACCAAAGAGAGAGGCGACGTCTTCCTTCCTCGACATTGATTGAAATCAGTGACTCACAAGGATTTCTTTTTTTAACGCCTCACTTCCTCCCCACTAAATCGTACAAGATTCAGGCCTGCGAAAATACTGAATATTTCAGCAGCTGAGTAGAGCCGACCGGAGGAGGATGGGAAGAAGTCAGTGTCGGGGTTTGCTGGAGCTCGGAGCATGCTGCTGCTCACATCATCATCATCGATCAGCTCTGGAGAAGACAGAGCGCTCAGCGTTGAGTCTCAGGTGTAAAAAAGGACAAACACGGCAGATGGACTCCAGGAAGTTCTGAAGGGGAGTTTCCAGGTTTGTCGTTTAGTGCTTTTAGCGCTCCGAGGGCGGATCAAGCCACCGGCTGACAACACACGCTTTAAATAACTGAACCATGATGTGTCGACGAAAGGCAGGAAGAGCTGCTGAGACGTTTACCTCCTCTCATTACTCTGCCTAACCACTGTTGTTATGACCGTTTCTGCTTTCTCCCTCTGAGGATGGAGATCCTCCAGTGAAATCTCAGAGAAAACCCGTTTCAAGACAAACTCCTTAAACAAGCCATTAGGCTGACCAGATTTCCTCCGAGGGCGTAGACGGAGGGGTTTTCTTCTTTAATGCCTCCCTCCACCACATCACCCTGCACCTCAAGGCATATCAAATATGAATAGAGACGTCCGGATCGATGGGAGAGGCCGAGTAATCAGAGCAGTGCAGTCTGAGGGGTTCGGATCCGCACACCTAGAAACACAGGCGTCGCATCGTCCGTGATCACACATGCAGCCTGGAGAGACGGTGGATTAACTTCTCCTTCTTAAGATTTCACTGCAATTAGAAAGATCAGGGTCAGAGTTCTGGTGGTTTTGGATGATCTATTATTAATCTGGAATGAAACATGAATGATAGAGGGGAGATTTCATTTGTTCAATTTGATTCAGTTCAGCCCTTTATTAAACAAAGGGACATTTTTACAGGTCATATTGGGTAAGTCTGCTGCAAAAAGACTAAAACAAACTGTACCGAAAGCCTTTTCTAGAAAATAAATTCAGCTCACTTTCGTAACGCTTTGTCACGTGTAGAACATGTCACGGTCAGCTTTATCCATCCATTTTTGCTTTATTGTTTTAATTTCTGTGGAAGCCCATTTCCACAATGAAGGAAAAACCAAAAACCCAACAGGAAGTCAACATTTCAACTTACAAAGTCCTAGTTATGAAATAAAAAGTAATAAATATGAGATTCAAAGTCAAAATTGCAAAATACAAAGTCAATTTTGAGATAAAAAGTCATCTTTCCATACTATTGTTATGTTTAAAGTAATAACTGAGTTAGAAAGTCATAGTTTTGATTTTTTAAGTCATAATTTTGACTTTCTAAATCATAATTATGAGATAAAAAGTCATAATTTTGAGGTAGAAAGTATTAATTATGGGACTGGGTCAATTTTGAGATAAAAAAAATCATGACTTCAACTTTTTAAGCCATAATTAAGATATTCAAAGTAATAATTGTGAGATAGAAAGTCATAGTTTTGATTTTCTAAGTCATAATTTGACTTCCTACATCATAACTATGAGAAAAGAGTCAGGAAGAGTCTGAGTATAATTTTCAGTGTTTTACGGCAGGCCAAACAAGGAAAATAAAGAGTTTAATAAGATGACGCGCTTCCATGATGTTCTCCACCACCAGCTTGATTCTTGTGCCTCTTGTGATGTCATCAATCAAACCAAACATAATTCAAAAGTTTTTTCTTTTCTTTTCAGTGTTCAAAGGGTTTTCACTCCCCTGAAAACCCTTTGCGTTCTACACCACCCAACTGTGTTTTCATTCACATGATGTTTTTAGTCCTGAAAACTTAAAAAAATAAAAACAATTTATTTAAAATAACACCTTAAACAAACAAACAAACAAAAAATATTAAAAGACTTTCAGGTAGAAAAAAATTGAAGCTACTGTTCGATTTTTTTTTCTTGTACATTTTCACAATGGAGCAAAAATAATGCATCCTTGATTTAAAAAAAAAAAAAAGATAAAAAATTTTTTTCCAACATTGTCAGACACCTGACAGTGTTGATGTTAATACCTAGAAAACACTTAGAGATTGATGTTGTTCTTATTGTGAGGGGAGACACAGAGAGTAAATGTGATTATTTCCCCTGAGGGTGAGCACGCCTGCTGTGTGTACTGTAATAATAACGCCGTATTTGCTCTCATGCTCCGTTCAGCAGATTTCACACAGGTCTGACAGGCTCCAGATTGAGATAAACCCGACAGAGGTGCAGGATTACTGACAGCGGGCTTCAGAGCAGGAGCAGTGATTAACGACAGAAAGACAGATGAGGCAGCAGATAGACAACCGAACCGTTTTTACAATCTTTGTTTATGTTTTCTATAGGAAAAAGTTGCTGCATCAAACAGACTTTTTTTCTGTTTGCCTGCCTGTAGCAATCCTCCCTCCCCCCCGGCAGGTTGGCTGGCTGGCTGGTTGGCTGACACGCCAACCGAGCTGCGACACAAGAGGAGAAGCCGGGACGCTCATATAGGACACAGCAGCTCTTTTGTTGCACGGCCTTATTCATTATTCACCTGATCTGAAAAACAGACTGCAAACCAACTGCACAGCTGTCATCAAGCAACAAGGCGCAGGCACAAATTATTCATGACGCAGCAAAGAAACGGCAGCAGGATGAGAGAGGGGAAAATAATAAGAGACATCCGCGAGGCGGCTGACAGGCGGGACGCGTGGGACAAGAGAGTCCACCACTTTGGGCTCTGCTGCCGGAAAATCATTGAGTGTTTGAGAATTTTTCTTTTTCCTCAACTTAAAGCACATACAATAAAACCACCCCACAAAAACTGAGAAGCGACGTTTCCACAAGAATTTCAACTAAACAAAAAAGATAGACGTATTTGTTTCACAGGCCTTTTGAAACTCTTCATTGTCATTGAACATCATCATTTTATTACGTTACAACCAGGGGCGAAGGTTTACTTTCTGAGGCGTAGGCGGATGCATTATAGCATCTTTATACAAATGTCATTATGGCAACTTAAGCTAACTTCAATATTTAGA